GGAAAAGAGGGATGCAATGTAAAATGAAGACTTTAATTTTTTTAGTCATGAACTCATTGTATTTATAGGTGAAAAATATGAGAATTATAAATTTGTAAGATTTTTCAAAATGAAATTGTATTTATTTATTTAAGGTATTGGCATAATTAATTTATTATATTGATATTCCTAATCAAGTCATTATATTAATATTCCTAATTAATTCATAATATTGATATTACTAAATTACCCTTAAGTTTGAGCGGAAAAATGAAATAGGGGGATTTTGTTTATATATATATATATATATATATATATATATATATATATATATATATATATATATATATATATATATTTGTTCTCAAAAGGTTGAATCCCAAACTTCGAGCCCCTCACGACCCGACCCGACAGAATATCTGAGATAATGTAAATCATAGAATGTAGTTCAACCTAGACATTTCATTTACATTCATAGTTTAATGACGTAAAATATGTAATTTTACATTATATTTTTACCCTTCTAAATTTTTTTTGGTCAGGTCATGAGGTGTCCTGGCGAGATTGATTAAGGGATAAAATGCTAGCCATATTGATTTTTTCATACAAGTTGAACTCACAATCTCTCTTAAAAAACGAGAGTGCACGGCCACTCACGCTAATCAAGCTGGTTTTTTTACCTTTATAATTGACGCCTCTAAATATATTTCTTAACATAAATGGTCAAATTTGAAATAAAATTAATGTTAATGAGTCAATTACAGTTGAATTAAAAGTTGAGGATGAAAATTAGAAGACATCAATAGTTGATGGAACTTTTATTTGTATATAGTAAGTGTTGAAGCCATTAAAGAAATAAAGAAAATGGAATTTAGGGTCCGTTTGGAAAGCAGGAAAATAACTTTTGGAAAATGTTTTCTGGAAAATGAGTCATTTTTCGGAAAACATTTTCCTTTCCAGTGTTTGGTTGCATTTTGGAAAACTGTTTTTGTGTGTTTGGTTCATTTTCTGGAAAATGAGTAGAATTGTATAATTAAACATTTTAATTATTTTATTTAAAATATTATAACATGTATAATAATATATAATAATTTTAAATATAATTAAAAAAATAACTAATAATATATCAAAAATATTATAGTGGTGGTGGTGGTGTAGTGGTAGTGGTGTTATTTGTTATATAATAATAATAATAATAATAATAATAATAATAATAATAATAATAATAATAATAATAATAATAACTAGTGGTGGTATGACGGTGGTGGTGGTGATGGTGTGGTGGCGGTGGTTGCGGTGGTATGGTGGTGGTGGTGGTGGCGGTGACGGCGGTGGTATGGTCGTGGTGGTGGCGGCGGCGGTGGTGTGATGGTGGTGGTGGTGGTGGCGGTGACGGTGGTTGCGGTGGTATGGTGGTGGCGGCGGCGGCGGCGGTGGTGGTGGTAGTAGTGGTAGTGTGATGGTTGTGGTGGTGGCGGCGACGGTGGTATGGTGGTGGTGGCGGCGGCGGCGGTGGTATTGGTGGTGGTGTGATGGTGGTGGTGTGGTGGTGGTGGCAGTGGTGGTGGTGGTGGTGGTCGTGAGGTGGTGGTGGTATGGTGTTGATGATGTTGGTGGTGGTGTGATGTTGATGTAAAAGTTGGAAAATTACTTCCACCCCAAAAAAATGGGAAGTCATTTTCCTCCAAATCAAGCCTATTTTCCAAAGTCAACGGAAAATGATTTTAGTTGACTTGATTTTCGAGGCACATCCAAACAATGGAAACTTGAAAAATGATTTCCAGAACTCATTTTCCAGGTTTCCAAACACACCCTTAGTTTTGTCCAAGAAAGCTGTAAATACAATTGTAACGTAATTGTTAATTGTTAATCCCGACCATCATCATCTATAGCTTTTGTTTGATTCCTAGAATACACTTGGAATGAAATGACATTATCAGGAACATGTCTATTCCGTTGTTTGGTAATGCTTTTTGTTCCCAATAATATAGTTTCCGAGAATGAGTTATTCTGCTTGCAAGGATATTTTTATCCCCAGTTAAATCTACAATTTGTTTAGGTATTTTTAATTGACTGATTACTAATTGTAGTCAATGTTTTGTTTCCCCCTCCCTCATTTTTTGTTTGTCATACTATCCACCATCATTGTAGCTTTAATTTGGTTGATGACTTCAAATTTCAAATTTGCTATTGACCATGGTGGATCTATTTCATTCATTGTTGTCACAGTTTCAATATTCGCATTGCCTCAATGGTAATCATTTACCATCCCTATATAGTATCTTCTTTAGGATTTCTACAATGATCACATAAACTATATTTTTTCTTTTACATTATTTTTGCTGGAGTAATACCTTCCCAATTGGTTGACTCATATACATTATTGCAATATTGCATGTATGAACTTCATGTTTAAGCCCAATCCCACCACTGAGTTGGATAATTTTGTTAGGTTAACACAATGTAAGTTATATTCAAATCATGACATTTGAATTCATACACAATCAAACAAATTAAACATTAATAGTGATGGACAATATTGGCCATGTTTGATAACGCAGTTAGCTTATTAGTCAAATTTGGCTTATTTGATCACTATAAGTTGTTTGACTTGGTTAAACATTCAATATAAGTGTTTGATTAATTAGCTTTTTGTAACAACTTATTGCTCTAAAATGCTAAAATTTAAAAAACTGCTCAAAGTAGTTTTTTCAATAACCTTTTTGAGAAAGTCATTTTGCATGTAATCAACTATCAGCTAACAGCTAATTTACCAAATATCTTTCTACAATCAACTAATCAAACTCACTAACATAATAAGCTAACAACTATTTATCAAACACCCCCAATATAAGAGCATTCTCAATGAGAATTTTGGAGACCGAGAGAGGGTCGTTACGTTTTTGGGAATGTGGAGGAGAGACAAGAAAATACCAATACTATTATTATTGTTATTTTTCCTAAATACTCACCTTGCATAATTTTTTAGAAGAATAAAATTGTGTCCCGAACAAAACGGGTATGGGTGCGTAAAAATACTACCTAGCATTTATTTTATTTTATTTTAGTTTATTTTTCTCTTTCCTCCAACTAACAATAAAAGAGTTAACAAAAAACTCACCTCAAAAATTTATCCATTGGCTTTTCTCTATGTACCCACCCCACCCCCAAGTTTTTCTGAGAGATTTTTGTCATGAGAGATAGGAGAGGAGAGGGGAAAACCAAGTCCAATTACAAGGACCTGATTTTTTGCATAGATTTATGAAAAAAAAAATAAAAATAAAAGGATAGGTGAGTAGTACTAAGGGTGTGTTTGGTTGACAAGTTTAGCTCTAAAAAATGAATATCAAAGTGAGTAACTTGTTCACCTAATGGTCACATCTAGATAGTGGCCAACTACAATGACTTAATTTTTGCACAATTTTTAAGAAAAAAAAAAAAGATCATCGTGTTCACAAAATGTGAACGCCTAGTGGGTGCACGCACCCACTGGAGTGCCAAGGTAGTTACTAAGTTGTTTTTTCCTCTCTCTCTCTCTCTCTCCTTTCTTCGACTATACAACAAACGTGAAAAAAAATTCACTAAAATGCTTTAACCATTAGTCTTGCTATAAATCATGCATGCGTTCAAGATTCTCACATGAAATCTTCACCGATGCAACAAAAGTTGGAACCAATCTTGTGAGTTGTGAAACACGAAATAACTGCCTTAAAGAGAGACATAACTCACACTTCTAGTCCTTTCTCATGATTCTAGCAAGTACCTAAGGAGATTACGTGCAAGTATTTGGTGCTAATGCTTGGGTCTCTTTAATGAAAGAAATCTTGTAGGGCTGATGAATTCAACAAGATTAAATTTATTAAGTTTGGTTGTATTTTAACACTGTATAAAATACTATATCTCTTACCACTATCAATAAAAAGAGAAATCTTTTGATTCGTCTTGAAATGAATGATTAAGTGTGTAGAGCATGTCTATTGTATCTTTTAGTTAAACCCGTCGCACATGGTCTTTCTAATTCAATTTACCTCTTATGTGTGGTTTGTAAAACAAATATACATAAGCGCTTATGTGATTCGCGTGATTATTGCACAAGAGCTAGAGTTTGTTCACGCACATATTCCAATCGTATTTATGTTTTTTTTCCTATAAAGAAATCTTTGGATTCACATTTTATTAGAAAATGCTCTATTAACATATTATTTGAATTGAGTAGTCATTCAATTGATACACCCCCAGCTACTTAGCCCATCCCCAATAAAAGTTTTTGGTGTGATTTTTGAAGAATGAAGGTTTATGTGGAGGAGAGAAAAGATTTTGGGTCTCATTGCAATACTTTGATTTTCTGTGGGCCCTAGGCAAAGAGAAACAACATAGAAAATGCGCAGTTAGGCGCGGTTCATGCATATACAACGCCCTGTCAGACGTGTGCAGCCTGCTGGCGCATTAAGATGGTTACTTTTATTTTATTGATTTTTCTTTTTGCTTCTCTTTTTTTCCCCTCTTCTCTCTCCCTCCCCTCTGTCCTAATTGACACGTCAAAAAAAAAAAAAAAAATAACTACTCTACTCAAGTTGCTCAGTGGAGGCGTTATTGGTTCTTTGTGTTTCGTAGGTTAAGAAAGTATATGAACAGATACTACAATGTAATAGAGCCAGTAGTTTTCAAAAAAAGTTGCTCTTATATTATTTTAATCCTAATCCGTAGTATTTAGTATATGGTACCTTTTATAATCATTGAATAGTGAAATTGCGCTCGAGTGTTAAGTACGTCAATTGACTCATCTAAAATCATCAATACACACAAATCCTTAATCTCAACATAATTACAGTACAACACAGTACATATCTACCCCACCACGCAACACTGGTCCCACACTCATGCTGCCGAGGAGTCTCCTCGTCTCTTTTCTTCTTCTCTCTCTCTCACTTTCAGTCTCCCTCTCGGCAATACAAAAACCATGACTCTTTCAGTACATTCCCCTCCAGCATTTCCAGTCTTCCACAGTAGATTTCATTAAATTTGTCTTTAAATTTGTCATTTCTGGGTATATATATATAATAAATGGCGTAGTGTTAGTGGGTCACCTGATCCATTACCAAGTTTTCTTAGCCTCAACTCATCCACAAACACAGTGGTTTTGGTAAAATTGGTAAAATTTCTAGCCCTGAACGCCTTTAAAGATTGAATCTTCGAGGCTTTGATGCCTTCTCTTCACTCTGGGTCCTTGAAATGGCGCGCGTTGAGATGGGTCATGTGGTGGATTTGGAATGTGGCGAACACCGCCGCCGGCACTCCTCCGGCGAGGAGCAGCCGGAGGAGGAGGAGGGAAGCTTCTGTTTCTCTGACGCCGACGAAGGGTCATGTTATTCCCAGTTCTATTCCACGGCCGATGGCTCTACCTATGACGACTGTAGCTTCGCCGGTGCGTCTGAGTCTGAGATAGCGGAGACTGTGGACTCCCGGCGAGCTTCGTCGGCGGCGGCGGAGTCCGATTGCTCGGTGGATTTGGAGAAAGGGGTTGGTGAAACCAAGGTGCATTTCGGGAAAATTCAAAGAGATTGTAGGATTTGTCATCTCAGCTTCGACAGCTCCGGGCCTGAAACTGGGGTTTCGATTCAACTAGGATGTTCTTGCAAAGGTGATTTAGCTTCTGCTCATAAGCATTGCGCTGAGACTTGGTTCAAAATCAAAGGAAATAAGTAAAATCATAACCTCAATCACTTCTGTTTTTTCTCCCCCTTTTAATTCCCATTATGTATGTGTGTATTTATATCCATTTTTCTTCTTAAATGTCATTGATTGTAGCTGAAATTTAGGATTTTAGAAGAAAAGTATGCTAAGAATATAATGGAGTTTAGACTTTAGAGTGCCTTGTTCTTTTTTTTTTGGGTGACAATAGAAAGTTGAGGTATGCCCTTGAAAACCAATCATTATGGTCCACACAAATTGTATAGACTATATTTTGTATATTGTCAATAATGTACATTCAATACAAAAATAATGTACATTGTATTCTAGGGATGTACATTATTTTTGTACTTAGTGTACATTATATTATATAATGTACATATAGTACAAAAATAATGTACGTATATTAAAAATGTACTTTTTGTTATGGTCCACATAACATTGTGTGGACCATGGTCCATACAATAATTTGCCTTCGACAACCCGCCTTGTAACCCTAGCCAACTGGTTCAAACCAAGAAGCCTAATAGGTCGCTCTTTATGGGAGTCGAACTTGTTCTTTGAGATGACGAGGGAAGCTTGCAGCCATTACCTGAAAGTGCACTGAGTAAACCCGGTCTTGAAAGCTTAGCTGACAAAGGACCATAAGGAGGTAAACCAGTCTAGGTTGTCATAACTAACCCGTTCAAACTAAGAGGACTGAGATTCAAACACGTGACCTTGTAATTACAAGTTTGTATCTTTAGCTATCTTGGTTGGGGTTAGCCCAGACTGCTTTGTTCTTTGTTATTACTGCTTGACGCCTTTGATAGACAACTGGTACATGGTTCCTATTGATTCCTATTCACTACTACTAGGATTCTTGTAGCACATGCTTAAGGGCTATAAAGTGATAATAACAAAATGATTCATGTTTTGATACACTTTTATTATTATTATTATTATATGTTTTGTGAGAATTATTTTTGCAAGTAAACATAAATGATTGTTTCCCCTGCCCGGGAAGGGATGCCTTTCGTGTATTTTATTGGGACAAACAGGTAGATAAAGAAGATGAATGGAATAAAATGAAAGAATTTAAATAACAGGAAAAGTAATGTGAAAATATCCCTTTTGGATTTAGCTTAGCTCCTATATGAGACGACGAAAATTAAAGCTTGAAAAATATCTAATCACACCCAAGATTCCTAGCCATTCTGTCCTTATACTTGGGATGGCTTTCTTTATCAAAGTGGAGACTTGACCCTTGTTGATTAAGTCCTTCCATTGTGCTGGCAAGTGGATATATGGATTTTGCATATTTTATTCGTAAATTCCAAGTGCTTTCTTATGTATTTGGTTGAAAACGCCTTTTTCTCTTATGCTTAGTTAAGATTTGCTGTGGTTTGCAAATGTTCAATTATCTGCTCTTCCGGCACGCTATGAGCCTTTGATCCTAAAGGGCATCTATTGCCACCTTTACTGAATGGTTCGAGAGTCACCCTGGAAGTCTTGCTTATAGAATTTGTGTGGTAAATTTGTTCTTTTTAGTGCAATTCTATAGCTCTCAAATGCCTTATCTTGTTTTGGACCACGGACCACCTATATAGAAAAAACTTTGTTGATTACCTATTTCTTCATGTTCTAGATTGACCATTTCGCAATTGCTTTTCCAGGATCTGTGAAATTTGCAACTCTATTGCACGTAACGTTGTTGGTCCAAACGATACTGAGTCATCATTGGAGCTACAAGCAAACGAGATGAATGGTGGTGCGGGCACAAATGCAGCCACGGGAACATCTTCTTCCTCCACTTCTGAGGCCCGAAGTTGCTGGGGTGGGCAGAAGTTCTTGAACTTCCTCTTAGCTTGTATGGTATTCGCGTTCGTCATCTCATGGCTCTTCCACTTTAACGCCCCTTCGTAGGCTGGCAGTGAAGTAACGACCTCACGGAGATGATCGTGAGCTCGCAAAGGCTTTCAGCGTCGCTTTGTTGATACGTACCTCTCGATACAAATGTAGGTTAGAAAGTAGAAACTCAGCATTATTGAATTGCCAGTTTACTAGTGTACTGCAACTACATTTCCTTGTGTGGATAACGCCTTATAATTCAAAAATGAGTATTTTCTTTGAGATTAGTTAGTGATTTACTTCTATAGATGAAGTGAAGTGGTTGGTATTATGAGTTCATACCCTATTAGGATCAATCATGATATAGTTTTGTTGTAGTTAGAGGTGAAAAAAAAAAAAAAAACCGAATCTACTAAAGAACTAAATAATCGATACTCCAATTGCCCGAAAAGTTTGGTTATAAGTTTTCTAGTTCAAAAATGATTTCGGTTGGTTATTGGTTTTCTTGTTGATCATGAAAATCTATAACGAATTGAAAAATTCATGCTTAAACAAGTATATATAAAAAAAAAAAAAAATTGGTAATTTGTTAATATGTTTTAAATTAATATTATTATTTTAAAGTGCTTATGATACCATTGGGCTTTGGTACAAGAGAAAATGAGCATGTTTCTAGTAGAAAATATTTTTAAAGTTTCAACTTGGACATTTGATTTTGAAATTTGCAAGTGTAATATGTTTTTAGTGTTTAAAAATTTTGAGTTTTAGACAATTTTTAAGAAATTACAAGCATTTAGTTTATTAAGTTTAGGTAAAAATAACCAATCAAAAATTCTCAGTTTTAGTCAATTCAGTTATGGATAGAAGCTTGGTTTTTTTTTTTTTTTTTTTTTTTTTAATGCTATTGGCTCTATTACAATATAGTATCTGTTCATATACTTTCTCAACCTACTGAAACACAAAGAACCAATCGAAATCACAACCTTCCAAATGAAAGTCCAACCCAGGTACCATTAGACCACATAATTTTGGTATTTTGGTTGGTTATAGTTGTTAGGGAAATACATAAATGCAGCGTAAGCATCATAAACCTTTTCTATAATTTTATGTTATGTTAAAAGAGTTCAAAATTGTTACTCATGGAACTTGTTTTAACGGGGGGTTGAATCTTTGCATTGCTCAAATGTCTAGTCTCTAGTCCGTCCACCGACCGGACACATAAGAGCACATGAACGTAAAGGTTTTTACATGAAAAATGTTCTCTCTCGCAAAAATCCTTTTTTTTTTTTTTTTTTTTTTTTTTTTTTTTTAAAAAGAATGGGGCAAGACTATTTACAAAGCCGATTTTGGACCCAAAAGGTTCTAGCTTTTTAAGAGGTCTAAAACTACCCAATTGAATTAATCCATTAGTCATATATTAATGAATTAATTCAATATCAATAACTACTTATCAATTTCTTTTAAAACTACCTCTCTACATTAACACAAACAAAAAGGTGCGACTTCTTACGTTCAGAATCAAACTAGCAACTAGCAATATTTAATAACTTATTATTAAATAGTTTGTATTATAAGTCATGAGTGACAACTGCAGTATGTCAGTCTACTTAATTGACAATGAAAGAGATTATAATGAATATTTCTGTTATAAATATCATGTAATAATATTCTTTCACACAACACTTGTTTTAACATATAGAGATCATGGTCAAAACAATCATTATTGTGTGGATCATGGTCTACACAAGTTGTATAGACCATATTTTGTATGCTGTAAAATAATGTATATTCAGTACAAAAATAATGTACATTATATTCAGGGGATGTACATTATTTTTGTACTGAGTGTACATTATATTGTATAATGTACATACAATACAAAAATTGTATAATGTACATTATTTTTATACTGAGTGTACATTTTCCTGGTCAAACTTGGTTAAATCCATAACTATTCTACATGGCAGTAAATCAATAACCTCACAGTGATTTTTTTTTTTTTTTTTTTTTTTGTGGATATACTCAGGATTTCCACCGTCGGACACAGTAATTAATTTTCTCGTTGAATTGTAGACATATTTTCTCGGTGAGACAGTTGGCCTAGAGATTTACTCAATTCTCAAAACTAAGAATCGAACCCTTGACTGTGAGATAGCATCACAGAGACGATCGCGAGCTTGCAACAACATTCAACGTCGTTTTGTTAATACGTACCTATAGGGCCAATACTTATACAAAATAATAGAGAATGTAATGTTATATACTCATAATTAGAGTTCTCAAGCCTCAAGGTGTGTTATGATCCCAACAAGTGAGTGAAGAAGGAATCGAAGAAGGAAGCATAAACGACGTTGCATGAATAAGGAAACGGTTGGGCAGTTAAGCGAAAGGCCAGAACGACGACGTTCCATTACGTGGCAATTAGATTAGCTGTGTCATACGACGTCGTTTGACGATGTGGTTTAGTTAGGCAGTTGGGTATTAAAGCTGTTAGTTCGAACTGTAATGGCATCAAAACTCTAATGCAAAATTCAGAATTCTTCTCACCTCTTACCTCTTCTACTCTCTTCTTCCCTAAATTCTCTAAAAAAAAAAAAAAAAAAAAAAAAAAAACCCCTAGAATCATTACATTTGGTATCAGAGCCCTCAAATGGAGGCACGATTGAATCAATTGGAACTCGTGGTGGCCGATTTGAGCCTCCAAATGGATTCGCAGCAGAAATCAACTTAGGAGTTAGTGGAGAAACTGGTTGCTCAGATGGATAACAAGATGAACGACTGGAAGAACGAAATAGTGGAAACACTCCGATTGAACCGGCCACCACCACCACTGATGAACCTCACTCCAGGCGAATCTTCTGTTAATGGAGTCAAACAGGAAGTTCCGGCCAGCTCACTGCAAGGCCAAGTGGCACAGTCCAGAAGAGCGGGGAAAAGTCTAGCAACCTCAGTACCAATAGCTGGAATGGATGGATATGATGACGAAGTGAAGCTGGAAGGATCTAATATGGCCAGAAGGGAGCAGTTCGCCATGATCCGGAGGCATGAACCGGGCTCTCCTATGATGAGGTACCGGTACGATTTTCCCCCTTTTTGATTATGAACAGCCACGATTGTGGATTAGTAGATGCGAGAGATTCCTTCTGATGTCACATATCCCTAAAATCGAAGTTATGCATGTGCTCTATGTCAATTTAACTGGTAGAGTGGGGCTGTGGTATGAAGGGTATCTGACTGGAATTAAAGGTCCTTTTATGTGGTCACACTTTGCTGAGGCCCTATGTAGAAGGTTTGGAGAGGATAGTGGAGCAGTTATGGAAGATTTCACTATCCTTAGACAAACAGGAGGAGTTTTAGACTTCACAGACATGTTTGAGGAGTTGAGAAGCCAGCTTGTCCAAAAACACCCCACACTCACTGACTTGTACTTCCTGGAAGCCTACATTGCTAGACTTAAACCAAACCTCAGATGTTTTGTGAAAACCATACAACCAAAAACCCTAGCAGATGCCATGTGGTTTGCGAAACAGTTTGAGAAGGGGTTGTAATCCAATGAACCACCAAAACCATCCTACCATTACAACACCAAGCCAACAACAACATTACCACCCCCCAAACCATACACTTCTAACCTTAAACCTACAAATTCCCTGGGATCTACAGCCTCCAATAGCCTGAGTACTACTGCTAAGATGCCTGAAGCAGCTAAACTCAAGTCACAGTTGAGAGAACAGAATAAATGTATTAGATGCTTTGAACTTTGGCAACCTGGCCATAGGTGCAAGGGTTCCACCCTCCGTGTTATTGAGGAAGGGGAATTTCATGATGCCCCTGAGGAGTTATTGGCAGAAGGACAGGAACAAGGGCATATAGGTACTCAAGAACAAGCTGAGGTCTCACTTTATGCCATGATTGAGGGGAAGGAATGAACACCATTAAGCTGTTGGGATCCATACACAAACAAACAGTGGTCATTCTTGTGGATAGTGGAAGTACACATAGCTTCCTAGATCCCAAGCTCCTCACTCAATTAAGGATAGAACCAGAAAGAACTCAGGTCCTTAATGTGACAGTAGCTAATGGAGAACAAATGAGATCTGATACCATTTGTAAGAAATTGAGATGGCAAATTCAAAAGGAAGTCTTTGAAAAGGACTTCAGATTGTTAAAGCTGGGAGGGTGTGACATGGTTCTTGGAATGGACTGGATAGACCAGTTTGCCCCTATACAATTACACACTAGGCCCCTGGGCATATCATTCCGTAAAGAAGGAAGGAGAGTGTTGCTGAAAGGATTAACCAGGAAGCCTCATAATTTGCAGGCAGCAACTAAAAGGGACCTCAAGAAATGGCAACATTGTGGAGTACAAGGATTCCTTGTGCATTGTGAAGGGGTTAGCAGAAGAGAAGTTGAAAGCAGAACCAGTACATGTTATAAGGTGGAAGTTCAAACAGAATTCACAGAACTGACTGCAATACTGGATGAGTTCAATGAATTGTTTGATGAACCACAGGCATTACCCCCTAGAAGGGCTTATGATCATGCAATCCCCTTGATCCCCCCTTGATCCCAGGAGCACAGCCAGTAAACATCAAACCATACAGATACTCTTTTGACCAAAAGAATGTGATAGAAAAGATGGTGGAAGAAATGCTAGAAGCTGGGGTGATCACTGAGAGTGTATCATCCTTTTCATCTCCTGTTCTGCTAGTGCCCAAGAAGGATGGGACTTGGAGATTTTGTGTGGATTATAGGGCCTTAAATAACATCACTGTGAAGAACAAGTACCATATCCCAGTAGTAGAGGATCATTTTTCTGAGTTAGCAGGCTCTAAATATTTCTCTAATCTAGATCTGAGAGCAGGATATCACCAGGTGAGAATGAAGGAAAGAGAAGAACACAAAATTGCTTTTAAAACTCACCAAGACTTGTATGAGTTTAGGGTCATGCCTTTTGGCCATACCAATGCCCCAGCTACATTCCAAGCTCTAATGAACCACTTATTCAAACCATTACTGAGAAAATTTGTCTTAGTCTTTTTTTGATGATATTTTGATTTACAGTCCAGGACTGAATGAGCACTGGAACAATCTGAGGGAAGTGTTAAGTCTAATGAGAGCACACAAACTGCTAGCCAAGCTTAGCAAATGCTTTTTTGCAAAGAAAGAAGTGGAGTATTTGGGGCATGTTATATCAGAAAAAAGGAGTACACACAGATCCTTCCAAGCTTAAGGCTGTTGCAGATTGGCCAAAGCCTGTCTCTATCAAGGGGCTAAGGGGTTTTCTAGGCCTAACTGGGTAC